GGCAGTACTGTGTGGTTTCGTTCTGTAGGAACATTTGACTGGCAGTACTGTGTGGTTTCGTTCTGTAGGAACATTTGACTGGCAGTACTGTGTGGTTTCGTTCTGTAGGAACATTTGACTGGCAGTACTGTGTGGTTTCATTCTGTAGGAACATTTGACTGGCAGTACTGTGTGGTTTCATTCTGTAGGAACATTTGACTGGCAGTACTGTGTGGTTTCATTCTGTACGAACATTTGACTGGCAGTAATGTGTGGTTTCATTCTGTACGAACATTTGACTGGCAGTACTGTGTGGTTTCGTTCTGTAGGAACATTTGACTGGCAGTACTGTGTGGTTTCATTCTGTACGAACATTTGACTGGCAGTACTGTGTGGTTTCATTCTGTACGATACTCAGCTTATACTTGATAATTATAGATATTTTTGTATGAAACTTGCTGGTTTTTTTACAGATACATCTCTACCTTGGACTGGCAGTAATGTGTGGTTTCATTCTGTACGATACTCAGCTTATAATTGAAAAGTGTCGCATGGGCGATCGTGACTTCATCAGGTAAGTACGGAGATGTATCTATGTTATAAACAATTTTTGTGAAACTATAAACTTTGATGGCAATATTAATTATACTAACAATTATAATTATGAGGTTAAGTTTATAAATAAGATTCAGGAAGAACGTTGTACGATGTTAAAGAACCATAATCATCAGTTTTAATTCAGAAAAATTTGAAACTGATAATAATTTTGTTTTCTCTAGAGTCAAAGCGTTAGGTTTCTGTTACAGCTGAACAGTATCTGATAAAACAAAAGTCACCCTATTTACGTTAAATGGGCTCAAAACTTATCTCGAAACTCCATAGAACCATATGAGTGTGTTTTTTTATATAGTTTTGTTGTTTCAAAGCACAGTTTATTTTGTTTTCACCCCAGAAGGTGCATGTAATCCTTTATAAAGAAAGTAGCTACTTACTCAAATATTTACTTAACTTCATAAATGATTAATAATAAGTTAATAATAATAGTGATTTATTTTTTTGGAGGGAACTTACTATATGTTTAGACAGAACATTGGTCTGTCTGTCGTCTTCGTGTTACTTGAAGCCACATGGACCAATGGTTTGTTGAAACGTTTATTTTCCTCCCAAAATAAATCGCTTGATTATTCTTACAATTCGGTGTTTGCCAACTTATTATGTTAGCATAATATGCTTCCTCAATCAAGTTTCAAAAGTGCCTCTTTTGACATAAAACATCCTCTGTCAGTTTGATTTCTTCCTTTTAAGTGAGTTGCACTGATTGGCCATCATGTTTAATAGTTTCTGTCTAGTTGTACAAATTTTCCTTTCTTTGGTCAGTCACGTGTTTGTTTTATATAAGTGTTATGGTTTGGAGTTCTGTACTAGTTGTGTTATTGAGATCCTAAGTCAATTCAATGAGATGTATGGGAAAATATGCTAATCTGTTCTTGTTTTATAGACACGTTTCTTAAGATCTTGTATTTCTGTACTTACTAGGCACTCTGTGGACCTATTCATTGACTTTGTAGGCGTGTTTCAGAAACTTCTGATCATTCTCACTCAAAAGGTAAAGGGGGTTTCTATACTTCTTAGTCTTGCAATTGTAAAAATATCTCTTAAAGAGTTTACAAGTTAAATCCCACATTTTATAAATTATGACAAAAGAAACTCTAATATAGATAGGCAAGAAATAGCTGTTAATATGGAATTGTAAGTTCAGAACTGAAAATAGTTAACATTGCACACAAAATTACAGGGAGAAATTAAACTACAATGGGTTGAACTTAGATCACTTTAATGGTTTACATTAGAAATTAAACTACAATGGGTTGAACTTAGATCAATTTAATGGTTTACATTAGAAATTAAACTATAATGGGTTGAACTTA